CATCATCATCATCATCATCATCAGGATCGCCATTATCATCATCAGATTCGTCGACGTCATCATCATCATCAGCATCGTATGTATCCTCATCGTCCGGCTTCTCCTCCTCCTCCTTATCATCATCAGCATTATCATCAGCAGAAGCATCCTCATTGTCATCATCATCGTCATCATCATAATCATGAGCATCAGCATCATCGTCAGCATCATCAGTGTCATCATTGTCATCGTCATCCGCATAATCTCCATCAGCATCAGCATCATCATCATCTCCATCAGCATCAGCATCGCCTCATCATCATCGTCATTGTCATCATCTTCATCATCAATAACATGGTCATCATCATCATCAGCATCATCATCATTATCATCAGCATCATCATCCGCCCTCTCCTCCTCCTCCTTCTCCTTCTCCTCCATCTCCTCATCCTCGTCCTCGTCCTCGTCCTCATCCTCCTTATCCTCATCCTCTTCCTCCTTCTCCTCCTCCTTCTCCTCCTCCTCCCTCCTTCTGTTGCTGCTCCTCCTCCTCTTCCTCCTCCTCCTCCTCCCCCCCCTCCTCCTCCTCCTGCTCCTCCTCCTCCTCCTCATTCTCCTCCTCCTCTCTCCCTCCTGCCACCCCTCACCCTCCTCCTACTCCATCTCCTCCTCGCATGCGCCAAGCGCGCGGGGGGGGGGGACGGGAGGGGTGGAGGGGGAGGGGGGGGGAAGGAGGAGGAGGAGGAGGAGGAGGAGGAGGAGGAGACGGAGGGCCAGAGTCCAAGCCCAGGATGCACCAACGATGCTGCAGCACCCCACCCCGCCCCAAGACCCCCCCCCACGCAGTCCCCGAACGCGCCCCTCTTCGCTGCGGGACGAGCGCCCCACGAGGCGCTTCTTCGGCCTCGCGGTTGTGCTGTAGCCGGTCGCTCCAGTGGTCGTGGCTACGATCAGTCGACGGAGTAGGAGCTGCCGAGCGAGGAGGAGGAGGCGGAGGAGGAGGAGGAGGAGGAGGAGGAAGAGGAGGCGAGGAGCGAAGGACGCGTGCCTGGCAGCGGCGGGCCTCGGCCGCGGAGCGGGACCCCCCCTGGGCACAGAGCCGAGGCCCGGCCCGAGAGCCAGGGGCCCCTCCTGGGCCCCATGCGGTTCTCAGCTCGGCGTCCTGGAAAGAAGCCCTGGGACACACAGATAAGTGCACACAACTCCCAGGAGCCCCACACTTTCCCGTATGTTCTGGAATCTCGTCTTCCCCCCCCCCCACTTCCCATGTTTGTCCCAGATTCTCCTGGGGGTCAACGATGAATTGTGTCTGTGTGTGTGTTTTTTTCCCCTCCTGAGTTCTGACTGCACGCGCGAAACCTGACATTCTTGTCTGGTCAGCGGCGAGGGCGAGCGCGCCTAGCGTTCGGACGGCCGGGGGTCCGTGCCAGCACAGGGAAGAAGAGGGCGGCCGCGGCAGAGGGAAGCGTGAAGAGGCCCCTGGCGTTGAGAATCTTCGCAGCGAGGAATGCTTGGATGCCTGGAAGCGGGCACCAACACCAACACAAGGGGTTGCCTCCACGGGGGAAGATGATCCTAGATTTCGGTGTTGGTGGCAATGCTTCGGCCACCCTGGGAGCCAGAATATTGCCACCATCACCGAGACTGGGATCTTCTTCCCTCGGTGGAGGCACACCGCCGATATTGAATATTGGTGTTGGTGTCAACCTGTAGGCATGCGAAGTGCGCAGGCGGCCTCAAGCACAGGGGGCCCGTGCACCAACAGATGCGCGGTCAAACCAGGCTGCCGAAAGGGAGGGCAGCGTCGTTACCACTGAAGATGCGAGTCGGCATCCCCTGCGTGAGGGTCAACTCGCATCTAACGGTTATGGCGCATGGCCTCCCGTGTGACTGGGACGAGGCCTGCGCTTGGCACCATGACAGCCCTGTCGGCGATCGCATCATCCACTTTGTCCTGGGTGGCGAACAGCTGCTGGCAGCCGACGCCGTGCAGGGCCAGGGCGGGGCGGCCGATGACTGTGTTATCGACGTCACCGAGGACGCCGCCAGCGTCACCGAGGGTGGTTCACCATCAGCCCTGGCGGTGACGCCCGAAGAGGCCGACAGCAGCTTCGCTGGCCACATCCAACAGGAGATGTTGGCAGCTTGGCAGGAGGTCGAGGGCGCCGAGGAGCTGACCGAGGAGCTGCGGGAGCTGGAAAGCACCGACAGCCAGCAGATGGGCTACGCTGCTGTCGAGCACGCGGCCGCCAGCACAGGCCGCCGGCCAGGCGACTGGCCCCAGCACCTGGAGACGCAGCACCAGCGTCTGCACATCCACGCGCAGCGCCACTACCACCTGCGCGGCGCATCTTTAGACGACTACGCCAAGCTAGAGGAGGATGAAGGAGGAGAACTCGAGACTCGTGGAGTTGCACGTTGGACCCTGGGGGAGCGAGAGGCGTTCCTGAGCTGCCGCGAGGGCGACTGTGTTGCTAGCGCGTCCACAGCGACCCGTGCTTCAAACACACGCCGTCGTCAAGAGCGCGGCAATCCAGCGCGCGACACCGATCTCCCATCCAAAGAATAGGTGTGGAGGCTGTCAGAGGAGACGGCCGCCGCCATGCTCGAGGAGAGCTCACGAGCTGGGTCAAATGCAAGCGGTCGAGCGACGGCCTCTCAAAGGCGCTCGGAACGTGATGGACTCCGGACACGTGGGCTGCGGGCTGCGTGCAGCCCGCAGCCCACAGCCGGTGCGGCGGACTCGGACCGGGAAGGGAGCCCAGGGGTCTCCGAGGCGGCCTCTCTTCAGTCTGGGCGTCCTGCACGCAGCCCGCGGCCCTCGGGACCCGACGGCAAAACTGCAAAGACGTCAAAGCACCGCAAGGGACCCGACGGCAAAACTGCCAGGATCACTCGGTGCCGCATGGCGCCGAGAGGCTTCCGCGGCATGGGCGCCGGGGGCCCTGGAGACGCTCGCTGGCACGGCGGCACGGGCGTCCCAGCGGACTCTGTCCTCGGAGGCGGCGTGTCGCTCGGACTGGGCGTGCGTCGCCGTGGACGTCGAGAGGGCTGTCCTGCAGGGCGTGACCTACGCTCAAGTCGGGCGTGTCCCCCTACAGGAGGGAGATTCAAAAATAACCAGAAAATAGTCTGGGAACGATGTTTGTTTTACCATGTTTGACTATTTGGGGGTATTTGTTGACTATTACTAAATTTTTCGTCCAAAATCCGCCTGTAGGGGGACATGCCCGACAGAAACCTATGCCGAGATGCATGGGCAGGGCGAAGCGCCGCGAGAGGTGAGCTTCACCTGGCCGCCCAGCAGTGCTGCCATCTTCGGGCGGGCTCCAGGCTACGAGTCCTGCGGCGAGAGGACCCACTGCCTGCGCTTCACTAAGCCGGGCACTGGCTGCAAGGATGCGCCCAGAAGTTTCTCCATGAAGCTCGCAAGAGTCAGGCGCTCGCCCGAGTGCAACACGCAGCCGACACGATGGGACCCCGAGCTCGAGGTCAAACATGAGGCGTCTGGCACCTGTGGTGCCGGCGGCTCACAGTCAGTGCTCATACTATCCAAGCACGTCGGCGATCACAAGATCGCAGGACGCAAGGAGCACGTTGACCGACTCATCGGCCACATCGAGAGCGTCTTCGGCAAGATGAAGGGAGACTACGACGGCTTCACCAAATACGGAGTCCACCAGTACCGCAGTGCCGATGGTACAGTGACGCTCGACCAGGACGTATACATCGACGCGCTGATCCCCGTCAGGCACGTCGGCCTGGTCAAGTCGAAGGACGACGAGCCGGCCGGAGGTCCACTCCAGGACCTCTTTGTCTCCCTCCTCGGAGCAGCTGCCTACGCGCCGCTCGCGTAACACCGCGTCGCCGCCTACGTTGTCGCGCTGCAGCGAGCCGAGAACAAGCGGCTCATCAGACATGCGATGCAGCTCAACTCCGCTGGTCTGACCACGCAGGAGATCAGAGCGCCATCACCTTCCTGGCGGTGGAGCGCGCAGGCCAGATCTGCGTGCGCAGCGACGGCTCGTTCAGGCGCGAGGGGGAGGCAGGATGCGGCGTGCGTGGCACTGTATACGTGCGTCTGGGCAAAAGCCACAGTACTGGTGAACAGATCTGCCACTTGCTCGACGCCGTGAACCGATCGCACAAGCCCGTGTGCCGATCATCATTCGGCTCTGAGCTGCTCGCAGCATGTGGAGCAGCAGACGGCCTACAGGCGTACCTCCTGGCGCTCCACGAGATGCATCGCGAGCCCGCCTCAGTGAAGGGGCCCTGGGACACACAAACAAACACACACAGATAACCGAATCCCCAATATTTCCCATGATTTTTCTGGGCTTCTGTCTTCCCCCCCACTTCCCATATTTTCCCAGACCTTCCTGGGAATCGACGATTCATTGTGTCTGTGTGTGCTTATTCCCCTCCTGACTCAGCAGACGAGACCGGGAGGCCGCTGGAGGAGGGCACGCTGCACCAGCCGAGCCGGTCGAGGACAGTGCGGCGGACCACCCGCGGTGGCCGGCAGACCGGCTGCGCACACCGAGCAGGTCTCCGACATGCCGTGGTGCGGCACCCGCGGCACGGGGGCCGACCCCTGCGACAGCGGGGAGCATCGGCCGGGAGCTCACCCTCGACGACACGGAGGGGGAGCTCGCCTACAGTCATCGGCCTGACCTAAGGAACGATAGATAAGGAACGAAGCCCCTGTTTTATCCCAAGGAATAACGCGTAAGGAACGATAAATAACAAATAACGCAAAAGGAACTGTAAAGAACGCATGTAAAACCTAAGGAACGACCGAGCCCCTTTTGAAAAGTAACTGTTCCTTATTCAAGCCGCTCACTGTACGAACGCCACGCAGCGAGGTCGAGCAGGGAGCGGCACGAGAAGACGGTGCCGAGCTCCACCCACAGCAGCCTCAGCACGACACCACTGGGTGGCCCACTCGGCGTCGCATGTCTGGACTATGCTCGCGAAACGACCGACACGCATGTCGCGCACTACGTTCGCGAATGCGACACAGTCCATCAGGAAGAGAGAGAGAGAGAGAGAGAGAGATGCAGTGGCTCGCAGATCGTGCCCTACGCACGCGAATGCGATACGGCCAAGGAGAGAGCAAGAAGAGCGAAGCATGCCAGGGAGAGGGCTGTCACCACGAACTGTGTTCGTGGGGCGGCAGGTTTCGGACAGTAGTGCATGCAGTAGAGCATGCTGGAGGAGGAGGAGGAGGAGGAGGAGGAGGAGGAGGGAGGCGGAGAAGGCGGAGGAGGAGGAGGAGAAGGCGGAGGAGGAGGAGGAGGAGGACGAGGAGGAGGAGGAGGAGCAGTGCTGCCGCCAAAGGGGAAGGCAAGGCAAGGAAAAAAAGAACTATCCTCGAGTGGCAGAGAGCGGCTGGCAGGCGGCGTTCCTAGGTGGGCGGCCGCTTTGCGAGACCGAGCCGACTGTCCTGGCCCGACATCACACCACGCCCAACTGAAGCGTTACACGTGGAGGAGGAGGAGGAGGAGGAGGAGGAGGAAAAGAAGGACGAGGAGGAGCAGCAGCATCAAGAGAGAGGAGGAGGAGGAGGAGGAGGAGGAGGAGGAGGAGGAGAGATGAGGAGGAGGAGGAGAGGAGGAGGAGTAGGAGGAGGAGAAGGAAGAGGAGGAGGAGAGGAGAGGAGAGGAGAGGGAGGAGGGAAGAGGGAGGAGGGAGGATGGAGGAGAGAAAGAGAGGGAAGGAGGAGGAGGAGGAGGAGGAGGAGGACTCCAGGAGTGACGCAGCCTCGGCTGTTGCGCCCGCGCGGCCGCCCGCCCCGCGCGCAGGGCCGCGAGCCCGAGGCGCCCGGAACGCGGGGCCGGGCGGGGCCCTCCCGGGCCCCGACGCCTCGACGGGCGGAAAGGGCACGGGCGGGCCGCTCGCGGAGGCCGCCGCGGGGCGTCGGCGGCGCAGGAGGCAGGCTGGGCGGTCGGCGGGCGATCGAGCGGCCGCGCGGGTCGAGAGGGGGGGACAAACCGCGGGGGTGGGGACGACCGCAAAGAGGAGGAGGAGGAGGAGGACGAGGAAGACGAAGAGAGGGAGGAGGAGGAGGAGGAGGAGGAGGAGGAGGAGGAGGAGGAGGACCAGTGCAAACCCAAGAGTCATCAACGATGTTGGAATCAACCCTCCCTCCAAGCTCCCTCTTCGCAGGCCCTTACGAAGGTCATTTCCGCTGAGGGGACTGCCTCGTTGTTTGCAGACCCTGCAGCATGCCAAAACATTGTTCGCGGGATTCCAACGCCACAGATCAACTTGAGTGTTGCATCTTGACGGTCCTGAATCGCATCGGAACGCCAGCCCTAGGATTTCAACACCGCGAAGCAATGTAACGATTGCACCCGCATAATCCGGAATCCCTCCAAAACACCATATCTGGTACGCTGATCATGGGAAACCGTGAAGCTCTTGCAAAGCTCAAGAACAAATTTGCGCGGCGCTGAGGCGAGAGCACCATGTTGAAAAGGAATCGCCCTCAATCCGTGAAGCTTGTTTTTTTTTTTCCTGCGCCCCAGCATCGGACCAGGTGACACAAGCGCCATGCTCGCAAACCGAGCCAGGGTGAAAACCGAAATTGCCGCCGCCGTCGCACTAAGCAGCGCTAAAGGAGGAGGAGGAGGAGGAGGAGGAGGAGGAGGGAGGGGAGGAAGCTCTTGCAGCTTGTCGCAACGGATGCGCGCGGCGCTAAGGCGAGAGCCACACTTTTGAAAACGGGCCGCCATCGGTCCGTGAAGAGCTCTTGCCAAGTCTGAGGGTGAATGTGCGCGGCGCTGAGGCGAGACCACCCTTTTGCAAAAGGAACCGCCATCCATCCGCGAAGCTCCTGCAATTTTTCACAGAGCATGTGCGCGGCGCTGGGGCGAGAGCCACATTTTGAAGACGGGCCGCCCTCAGTCCGCGAAACGCTTGCAGATGTCTAAAACGAGTGTGCGCGAGAGCCATGAAAACCGCCCGCCCTCCATCTGCGAAGCTGCTGTCATCTGTTAAGCTTCAGGGCCCTAAGTGGTGAGGAGATCTCAGGCGAAACGCCCGGCCCGCCCAAATAACTGGCCTCGGGTGCGACAGGGAGAAGTTGCTTAGAGGAAAAGGAATGGAGGAGGAGGAGGAGGAGGAGGAAGAAGAAGAAGAGGAGGCGATGAAGAAGGAAGAGGAGGAGGAGGAGGAGGAGGAGGAGGAGGAGGAGGAAGAGGAGGAGGCGGAAGAGGAGGACGAATACTCCCCTTTGCCATGGGGGCGGCGCGCTCCTGGAAGTCGGGGACTGGCGCGGCGCGGTTGGCCGGCCTCGGCTCCCTCAGCTCCCTCAGCACGGCCTCCCTGCAGGCGCAGCTCACCTGAGGGCAGAGGAGGAAGGCCAAGAGCTTCACGGGCATCGTTCGGCCGTTCCCCATCCCCAGTGCCATGGCCTTGGCCCCTCGGTGGGGACGTGTGCTGTTCCCACCGGGGTCAGCGGGGCGTGTCCCCCTCAAAGGGGCAGTGAACTTGTGAGGCCGAGATGCCCTGGCCCGG